TTTGAGCAATATTTTTAATTCAGCTTCCTTTATCTGTTTTTGCAGAACCCTTATTTCGTTTTCAACTGTAGCGGCCTTTAGTCGTTCTTCATTTAATTCCAGATCTGCGAAAAATTGGTTTTCTTTAATCTCCAGTTCTTTCTTTAATATCTTCATTCTTATTTCGTGAAGTTCTTCCTTCATGTCTTGGTCTCGATCTGAGGTTTCATGTGGAATTTGCTGATGCATTTTCTTCAACCTTTTATTAATGCTTTATTAGTTCTGGCGCTATTGTCTTTCTCAATATAGAAACACCAGTTTCCTTAGTAGTTATACCACCAGTAGTATTTCTTTTCTTCTTACATCCTCTATTATTTTCTTCATTGTCTGACGTTTTAGTTTCTCCATTATTTTCTTTGTTTTCATTATTCATTAAGAAATCTATGTCTATTTCTGTGTCAAGTGATCTTGTAGGGCTATTCTGTTAGATAAAGAATGTGTTGTTCATTATTTTATTTCTGCCTTAAAATATGCGTATTGATACATTTACAATATACATACTATCTCCAGATGTATATTATCAACATGTATATTGTTGTTTGTTCCCGTGGAATTCATCTCTATATCTGCAATTGTTGCATTTTCTTTGCAGGTTTCTGTTGAAATCCCATAAAATATTTTTAAAGCTATCTTAAATAAGATAATATATATCTCATACATAACTCTTATAAAATGATATAAAAGTACCTAATGATTGATCACTATCCCATATAGATGGTAGACCTTCTATGGATAATGGCAGCATCGAAAGGATACTTTCTTCAATACCTAAAAAAATCTTAAATACCTAAATGTAACAAATTCTGGTTTCACATCAGATTGATTTAGGGCCGGTTGTTCCATCTTCCGATAAATCTCAGCTTACTTGACAGATTACTATCTATAAGGTAAATTTTATCGAGCAGTTTACCAGCTACTTATATGTGAGCGTTGTTCCATGTTTATTTATCCTATTGGTAGTTACCAGC